TGGAATGAGGAATATCATTGTTGAAGTCAGATGATCTCGGCTGAAAGCAGAGAATACCAGAAAGATGTTTGCCTGTGCTTTACTGACTATGCAAAGGCTTTCGATTGTGTGGATCATGACAAGCTATGGACAACACTGCGGAGAATGAGTATTCTGGAACCCTTAATTGTGCACACGATGAACCTGTACATCGACCAGCACTCTATCAGACTTGCTGCTGATTTTCAGAAGCACATCTCCAAGCCTTTCTTCCTAGTCTTAGCCCGTAAGATCCACTGAAATGTGTTCAGCATCATCCCAGCACACAAGCCTTCACATACAGATTGGTGGTGGCTTCAGTGGTCCCTAATCAAACCCAGGCCTCCCCCGAAGAAGGTGAAAAGTCTACACTGAACCACCAATGGAGGAAAATAATTTTACATAAGTTTACACCTGGCTTCACTCCCTTTTATTGGGTAATTCCAAAGTCTTCACTAACCCTCTACTTTACCAACTGTGTCCAATGGTAAATTAACTGAAGTCTTGCTATTCTTACTTGTAAGGAACATTCCAGATGTATTTAAAAAAAACAACAACCTTATTTGTTCGTTCTTCTGGCAGAGCATGATATTTTTGATATTCGTCGTCCTCAGCACACAGTGAGAATGCTTCTACTCTCCTTCTGCAAGGAGCTCTTCTCTGAGAAGCATTCTGGTCCTGCTTGGAGGCCCAGCTCTGGACACCCAGGTCCACAGCGCTGCCTTTGTTCTCCCAGTGCCGACTCTGCACAAGACGCCTTTCCAGGCAGGCTGCCGGCTGAAGAGGCATCTGTCTCTGACACGGTGTTTATTTCTGTCCCAGGGCTACAGCACAGTCCCTGCCTTGCGCTCTCCAACATGCCCAGGCGGATAAAGCAGTCTTCTGCGGACGCTCAAAAAACGCCTTCCCCACCCCCAAAACCACAGCCATGTATTTAACAGCTTACTCAAAGAGCCACAGTGAAAAGCCGATTTGTTCTTTGAGAAAGATTTCTGTCCATGATAAACTCAAACGGAGATCTGTATTAATATTTACTTTCCCCCAGAAATCACAACGTGGCACATAAACATTTGCCTCCCAATTAATAAAAATAACTTCACAGAATTCGTGTGATGTGTGTGATGGTTATAGCAAGACAAAGCTAATTCCTAATTTTTGTGTTGGGTTTTTTTTTCTTTCTTTCCCCTCTCTAATTGTGTAATACAAACTGAGTTTAAAATGATATACACAAAATTAAACTAGAGTTCAGGAGCTATTATGTCCATCTAGCTTTATTTTTGCAGCTCAAAGGTCGCGAAAGCAGTGGGTAAAACATTGAGATTACACTTTAAAAAATAAAAGTATGCTCTGCCATCAGTGGTATGGACGCAGCGTGTGGATCTGTAGGATAAGCACTGGACTGGGAACCACGAGGTCATCAGCCAGGTGCTCCGTGGAACACAGGTGAGGCTTTCTGCTCCTACAAAAACCTACAGCCTTAGAAACCCTATACTCAGTGGTTATGAGTAGGGTCCGGCTCCACGGCCTCATCTACAACCCATCACGGGGATTGTGTAGGACCAGGTCACATTTTATTAAGTTGTTCATGGGGTCCCAGCAAAAAGTGACTTAGGTCACTGACGTCTTCACCATATTTTACTCAGCTTGGCTGGCAGTTAGTTATTCGCGTGATAAACATTAACGCAAATACAGAGCTCTTGAAAAAATATCCTTAGGCAGCTATTTTGCTTGCGCAGGGCCAGTTGCAGAAGCCTTTCCACTGAGGCCCTTTGCAAAGCCCTAACTTGGTCCCGACCCCGTCTCGTTCTCATGTGACAATGCCCCCAGTGCGCAGACACCAGGGCCCCCAACGTTGCCCCGTAGGAGCGTCAATTCCAGGGCCGCCGCACTGCGCGTGCTCGCTCCTGCTTCCTTGCTTCCACCGTCTTGGCTCCTGAGCCGCGCATGCTCACTCCTTCGCTACACTGAAGCCGCCTCGTCGGCGTTCTCCGAACTGCTAGGAAACCCACGAGCAGAAAACATTCCTAGGGACGGGTCAACCAACGTTCCCACCCCTTCCCCTCTCCGCCCCGGACCCACCAAAGCCCCAGCAATGGCTAGGCCTCGCCGAGCGGGAGCGGGCTCACAGCCACCGAAGGCGAGAGGCGAGCGTGCCGGCGCACGGCGACCGGCGCCGCCTGATGACGTTGTCCTGCCTGCTGACGCGCCACGGCCGCGACTTTGTTTGGCACCGTGACTGGCGCGCCCGTTTTGAAGCTACGCGGGGCTTGGCGGGCGTGTCCTGCCGTCGGGTCCCGGCTCCTTGGGTCCGCGCTGTCCCCAGCCTTCCCGGGCGGGGGTCCGGCGGCAGGGGCGCCGCGATGCCGCCCGGTAAGGTGCTGCAGCCGGTGCTGAAGATGAAGGTGGACGAGCTGTTCCTCTGCTGGCTGAGCGAATGCTCCACGCAAGCCATGCTTCGGGACTGCCTGCGGCGTATCCAGGC